TCGACACGTGGAAACCGAACGTAACGGCCGGGCTACCCTCGGAAATGCAGTCGAAATCGCGGTGCAATCGGAGAGCACTTTAGAGAAGACATTGTTGTACGGTAGTAAAGGATAAGGGCTTATTATTCGACTATTAATGATTAATCGGTAGCTTATCAACGCTACAGCTTACCAGCAATCCAACTGACTTTTTAAAATATTTTTATAGACACTTTAAGAGCGTCTATTGAGATTTCAATCGACTTATAATTCGGTTTGAGTATTGCCTAATCAATGTCTTTGGCGATCTCTTAGATCGTTTTTTGGTAATTGTTTATACTGAAATAAAGAGTCGCTTTGAACCATCTGGTAGGTCTATTGTTAGGCTTTGTGGTTTGAATGATTGTTTTGAATGAAATTGTTGAGCTACTTCGTGGTTCGTTGTTAGGGGTTGAATTTATTATTATTGGCGAATTGGTAGATACTCTTGGCGTTTGAAGGAACGTTAAATATTCGCAAGTGGATGGAGGTGTTAACGCCATCGCCATTTTGAATCAACAGGGGACGGTAGACGTATTCTGAATTTTAAATATATTTCTGGCTTGTGGAAGGTGTTTATACTTTCTGTGTTTACACAGTCAAGTTGAAATTGCAAGATGAGCAAAATGGAGGCTGGCTTCAGAGGAAACTAATATGACGGATCTATATTCGCTGTTTGCGTTTGTTAAAGATAAATGTTGAAAGCCAATTTTGGTCAAATATTGGGCTGAGCGAAATATTATTTAAACTAGTAAATGGGAAGCGGCCAATTTCAGATCGTGCGAGTAATTATTAAAATGAAATATCTACAGTTAGAAAAAGGATTTGAAACAGTATTCGTTGATATACGAAGTGCATATTAAACAAACTGAAATATTCTTTTATATTCGAGATTACTAAAACCAAAATATTTCCTCAAATTTCCCTCCCTAAATGGAACTCTTATCTGATTCGAATTCTATCGAACATCTTAAACCGTATTCAAAATGCACCCTCTCCAAACTGTATCCAGCTCTACAAATATTACTCCCTAATGTTTCATTGTGCGACGAGTCTCCCGCAATCACCACCAGAGGGCTTCTAAAACGACACCTTTCTCGCAGTCACTCGATTGCTCATAAATTCCTATACATTCACATCTCAATAATTACTAAAACTATTTCCATATTCAGAGAAAAACCTAGAACCTAAATAACAATCCCACAAAAGAACATAAAATCCCAAAACATTTCTCCATTCCTTCTTCCACACACCTCTTTATCCTCCATCTTTCACAAGTGCACCATGCTCAACCGCCAAAAGAATTCCTTTCAACCAGCATCGAGAAGAAATCGCATTTCCGATTGCACCACTACTCCAATCCACCCAGTGTACCTAATGAATACCATTACCCCTGCTCGCTGCGCACACAACACGCATACGCGCGTATGCTACGGTATACGTAAACACACATACCTTCTTACGCTTGCTGTATCTGCGTGTGCCGAATTGTAGGAACTGCATCGCCTCGAAAGCGAACCACTTGGACACGTAAACATCGTCGGGGCCGGTGGCCGCGTCCCGGCTGTTCTGTATTTTGTGCACCTCCCTCGAGTACTGGCACTTCAGGTTCGTGATCTTCTTCTCGATCTCGAGGGTGTTGCAGCAAAGGATCTCGGCGAGCTCCTGTATGGCGTGTTTGCGTTTCGCGCGGTCCCGGTAGCCGCGGGCGTTCCAGTCCCACAGCACGGGCCTTTGTTTGTACTCGCGCAGCAGCTCGAGGGTTTTGTCGCGGGTCCATTCCATGGCGAGGCGCGTATCGTCGTTCGTCGTCGTGGTCTCTGATTCGTCCCAGTCGTCGTGCCTGGGCATGGAAACGCGTGGCGTAGCGTGCTGCGGTGCCGGCGGGCGTTGACGGATCGTCGCATGTACCACCGACTAAAAGAACAACCTTTCAACTTCTCTCACTGCGGGTCCGCACTGTGTCTAAAACGACGACGACGACAAACGACGCGTGCGTTATGCTCTTCCAGTTGTCCTGCTACTCGAAATTTCCCCGAGGTGGCCACCGAATTTCCTAAATCACGTGGATGGAGAAGAGCGGAGCGAGCAAGAAAGAGAAGAGACAGACAAGCGGCAGACGGATGCGGGTAAAAAACGGACGGAAACGGAAGAAAAAAACACGGTGTGTGGCGCGGAGGGCACACACAACGTCCGGCGTTGGTCCGGCTCTAACGTGGTTAGAGGCAGAGCGCAGAGGCTAGCCTAGCAGCCGCCCGTGAAGGAGACGAGTCCGACCAGAGGCGGACACACGGGGTACCCGCCGTCCACCCGTGTGTACCCGCTAATAAATCGGCGACTACGAGCCGACAACGACGCCGCAGCCGCGAATCGAGCACGCGTTTTAATGATTTTTGCGCGAGACCCGCGCGCGCTTGGTCGCCTCCCTTTCTTTATTTCCCTTAGCGGAAACCCGGCGAGAACACGAAGACGGCCGAGTCTGCGCGAACGAGCCTGACCACCGTTCCACGCCGCATCGCTAAACGTATGAGCGCCAAGCAGTTTCATCCTTTCGTCTCTCTGCTCTCTCTCCTCCTCCTCCACCTCTACCACCACCGCGTCCTCGTCCTCCTACTCCTCTCGCTCTCCTCCTGCTCTCTTCCGCCCTCCATCAGGCCGCAGACGCTCTTTCTCTCCCTCTCTTTTCTAGAAACCTGAACCGTCCGCCGCGCTTCGTTTCCCTGTCCTTTTCCGTTCTTTGTTCCCTTTCTCTGCCCGACGTTCCTTTCCATTTCGCATTTCTTTTCCACCCAGCTGCGCCCGCTCGCGAGCGAGCGTGCAGCGCGCTGCCTTCTTTACATTCCCTTCCTCTTTGTTTACTGAACGACCTTGCGCCTCTCGTCCCATCGTTTTCTCGTTCCTTTATCGCCCGGATCCTTTTCCACCGATGAACTTTTTCTGCTGCGTTTTCGCGCAGCTACAGCGCTGCAGAAGCTGTTACGCCTCGCCGGGAACGTTACTCCGCGGGCTTGGGATTCGATTATCCGCTGGCCGATGCCTCCTCGGCGATCCGGTGTGTCCCATGGTGTTCCTTCGCCGACGCCGTGGGACCGAACGCTTTCGCGATGCACGGGATTACGGTCGTGACCTCTGTCGAGGATCTGTGGAAAATTCAGGTGTTAATTGGGTTCTTTTTTTTATTCTGTTTCGCAGGTCGAAGGGCGAGCGTACCGTCGTGGAAGGTCGACGCGTTGGAAGTTAATGTTACCTGTACGGATGAATGGTGGAGTATTCGGTTTTGGTGAACTTTATGAGACGCGTTCAACGATTCCAGCATCGGTTTTGGGTCCTTGAAAGTTGCAATGAAATTAATGTTAAATCTGATCGGAACTGGTGGTTTTGATTGTTATTCAGAAATAGTCTCGGTTCTCAGTGATAATGATATCAGTTGCAATGCACTAATATAAACATTTATAGTTACTGACATAATCGACGATAGCGGAAAGTAGTGTGCTGCTACACGTAAGGCGGTTACGTAGATATGTAACTTAATATATGCTCTTTGTTATTTAACATTAGTCGGACATGAATTTGCATGAAATATATGCACATTTATTATCTGTTTCCTATATTTTTTAAATGTTACGAGGATACATAAATTCCTCTTTCTTCGTAGTCTTTCTTCCCATTTCCTCTTTCACCTTTCAATTGACTGCAACTTTCCTGTATCAGTTATTTCTGTCGTTAAATATGTTGAAATATTTACATTTCCGTTGTTTTGTTCTCTTCCCGATTTCCATCTTCTTCCTCATTTATTTCACTGAAACAGAATCCTCTTCTCTCCAGATAATCAGTTATTCTCGTAAAATATCGATGCAATTCTCCAACGATGAATTTCGTGAAAGCACAGATTTCACACAAATTTGAATAGCTTCTCATCGATTTTTCGATCACAACACATCACTGTTCGCGAGATCTTAATCCCCCGACATCCTTTCGGCGTTAAGTAAACACAGGTACATCGTGCCTGTACACGAACCGCGTGCACCAATCGAATTCCACGATTAGCGCGGACGAAATGAGATAAAAACGAAACGCAAAGAATTCACTCCGATTGCGCATTGGAATCACCGCAATTTTCAGTCATTAATATGCGCTCGGATCGAGTCAAGCTATAAACAGAATTATAAGAGCTCGTACACTCCTCAACAAAGATTTTTTCCCCCGTTTTAATGCAAGCATAATATTTGCAGTATGAATGCATATTTATCCCTCGTGAATTTTAATAAAGCAGCCGGCAGAAATTTAAATATGCACGAGCGTTTGCGTTTTACTCGTAAATAAAATTTCTCCGTGCGCAATACAAATTAATTGAATATTAATTAAGTAATGACACACTCGAATGCGTGGTAGCACAATAGTTTATAATGCTCGACGGAAATATTCTTACAATAATTCTTATGCCAATTTAGCTGTCCGTTGATAGTGACAAATGATTTTCATTAATTTTCCCTTGATCGAATAAACGCGCGCCCCGGCCTAATGCGTTCTACGGATAGGATAGATCTAATTCCGCTGAGGTACGATCCATCTTATTCTACGGCAATAATTCTTCGGTCATTCGACTCGCTTTCACTGAACCTGCATTGTCAGAACGCGGGTTGCTTGGATTACACGGGGCCGCGGCGAATCGAACACATGAAATCTCGGATTCGACTGGCACGTGCAATCAACATGTCTTACGTGCGTGAAATGTCGTGTCCCGTACAAGTTCCTGTCGCGATTTCCCGAATTATAGTTAGTCATGCAGAATTATTCGAATTTTATCTTCTCACTTGAAGCCGTCACACGAAGTGAATTCCTTACTTTCCACTACGAAGAAAAATATTTTTCATTGATTATAAACGTTCGTAGCTTTATCTTCCTATTGTAAAATAATATACCCCATAATTTCTATTCCACGAAAAATCATTTGTATCACTATGGAAGTACGAAGAAATACCAGATCGAGGCAGAGTTTCCAGCAGATAAATTAAAGAGAAAAGAAATAATGATTCGCGAACGAAAGAAAGCTGAGATCTTATTTAATAACGGCTCATTTCGTCGTTATTTGTATCTTTTTCAGTTTTCGCGGCTTTCCTCTACCTTTCTCTTGTTTGCAACAGTCTTATTACTATTCTTCGTGTTATTTACGATGCACTATTTCATCGTTTAACGATTCGGTGAGTTAAAACGCGCCCGATCGAGTCGTTACTGTTATTTATTTACCCTAGACTGTTCAATCGGCGTGTCTAATAAATTAAGTGGAGAAGGAAATGATGAAAAGTTAACGTACCCGGAAACAGAACGATGTGTTTGCCGGTCACCGGTTGGACCAGATTGCCATCGGCAGCCACCACTCGGAAATCATGCCCGGAAATGGATAACCGAACAGGACAATTGTACGCATTGGCGTTGATGACTCGCAGTAAGTATTGCAAGCCATGGTCGACTTTTACAACGATCCCGTCACTCTGAAAGAAGAAATTATGTCAATTCGAATCGAAATTTACCGATCGCGTCTGCTTATTATTATGTTACGATTGTATTACCGGAAACATTGTGTAACAATTATATGCAATAGTTCTACATGTTCCATATTCGACATTCGATTGTTCAAACGAATTTTCATTGATCGACTGCGCAAGAATTCTGATCGAACGTGCAATTTCCCCATTGCACATTCGAACTAGAAATCAAAGAAGAAACATGAAAACAACATGAAAACAAATTTCAATATCATCGAAAGTAAAAATTATTTTTCGAACGGAGCTCGGTGGAAATACATGTTTAATCGGAGTAACGGCGTTCGAAGCTTCCGTTTTTTGATGAGCACAAATTAATGAATAAAAGAAGAATGTTTAATTCACGGACTTCATTCATCTGTATTTTAATAACTCTAGCGAAGCGTACCGGTGAAAGTTTGATATATTTACGACTGTCTCGGAATTCGAGTTCCTTAATAGAACATCTGAATTTTAAGTTTGGTTCCCCTGTAAAAAAAAAATGGTACTTCGACAATAACCACGGTTACGTGAACATCCGCAGTCTAATAATGAACAATCGCCACTTTCGCGGAGCGTATCGTTACGTTCGACACGTTCGTGAATCAAGAGATAGTTCTTTCAACGCGTAATTTATGTCCCACAGTGCACCTGCGCAAGTGGAAACCCGGGAATCAAATAAAATTCTCGGAATAACTTTCGATGGAAGTAATTTAATAAACATGTCGTCAGGAAACTCATTAGAGGCAATTTGCGGTGATAATTTACGGTGACGTTCTACGGTCGATCTTTCCTGGCCGCACCGGAAACCATCTAGTTACTTCATCTTATTTTCTAATTCTCGGATGAAGTGTCGTCGTGCCACTGAAACTACTATTTATGCGAGTCATTTCTGAATACTAATTGCCACAAATAATAACTTCCCTTATCGATCAATTACAAACTTTCATAGCATTGTCGAACATTCTTTTAAACGATGAAAAAAAAGGAAACGACGAATTCTTGAATTTAACAAAGAAGCATCTATCAATCGAAGAAAATGGAAATTTTATTTACTGTAAGTTAATTCGGTGCTCCTTCGTTTAACGGAGCTATTTTAAATTGAAATATTTTATAACGTCGTTTCCTTGATATTTGTTTAGAACAATGGGAATAATAATGAACGTCTGCGGTTTAATGGTTGGACGTTGCGTTTCGTTGATCGTGCCCATAAATTCGCCGATCTTATTTAACGACAACGCTTTCGGCCCCTTCTCTGGGTCTTCAATTAATTAGATGAATCAGTACCTGGCCGTTCAAGAGCAGCTCGTTGGGCGTGGGCGGGTGTAGGTGCGAATACCGCGACAGCGGAGTTGGTGGCCTTGATGACAAAAGAAGTATCCTTTCCAAGCTGGGGTCATCCTGTGGTCCTCGAACTGTCAACGACCCGTACACGCCGTCGCCCTGCTGCGAAACTGATAACCCAATCTTATTACAGCCCTCTCATTTTTATCATCGGTCCGTTCTTCCATTAACACGTTGAACGCCGTATGATTTCTTAGACGAGAATACACAAAATGAAAAAATATAATGTTAAATTATTCGGTTGAATTGCATTATTATTATTGCACGTTCATCTAGCTGAATATCACTGCATTCGGTAGCGTAATTTATAGTATAGAAATGTTTTCAAATAATCATCGTTCAATTGAGTGAACTGTAGTAATTCGATTTGGTTGGGGGTCACCGGTGACCCCCATGGCATTCAACGTGTCAAGGACCTTCAGAAAATTTCGATACTCGAATGTAAAATTTAGAAAAGTAGGCACATTGGAATTCAAGTATGAAAAGTTAATTCTGTTACAGGTGTTTTTATTTTTGTCATTGACTTTTATAATGTATAATGTATAAAATACTACTGTTTATTTAATTACTATAAAAAAATAGCCTGGAGAACAAGAAGAATGGCGAATAAAATGAAAAAGTTGTAATTGCATGGAAGAAATAGTACTGCTTCTTATTGAGACCCTATCCGCCATTTTTTAATACTTTGGAATATCTACGAGGTAATCAGAAGTACTCAGAATTTAATTGTAATTTATTGCCTTTTTAAAGTAATTACTTTGTGAAGGAGGTACTTGCATTTTTAAAATCGATGTAAATATTGTAAAAAAATACGTTCAGTTAAAAATTTGTTACTTTAAATATGTTAATCATTTTGGACTCTTGTCGTTTAGAACATTACGCGTAATCGTTCGCCGTTAAATGTTGACTTATGGTTATCACACGACGTATTAGCTTTTTAATGGTTTTAGTATTTTAATAGGTGGTACGAGAAAATTGAAAGAGATATCTTCAGTTTACGTAAGGCACGATGAATACTATTTAGCTTTACTTTCGCGGTTCGAACGTGAATCGCTTCAAATTGCAAATACGCAGTTACGTAACCTTCGGATAATTTATTAACGCACACTTCTAAAATATTAATGTACATAATCGAATAACCGCGATTCTATAATTATCCATTTTAATTTCATTTTAACGATCAATATAAAATGATAAAATTAAATGTTTATACTTCTTGCTATGAAATATATGATTAGTTAAGTATTGATCTCAATTATAAAAAGGAAACGCATATACAACGGAATGTAATGAACCTTGCAATTAGAGAAATTCTTACTTATTACACAAATCCATGCACCGCATAAAAAAAATGTTTTATAATACCTGGACGTCCTTGGAAGTTGCTCGTTATGTGTCATTCTACTTTTCTTCTCTACGTTCGCCAAACAAGGCAATTACACTCTTTCGTACCAAGAAACTAATTTAATAGAATTTATTTTTAAAAAAATACGTCTCTGGAATTTGTTGAACGTTGTTTTTCCCTGTTCTACACCCGACAATCTCAAAGGGAGTTAACACGTAACCTAACTTCTACTCGGTCCTACCGTTATTGATCTACTTGAATTTTGCTCCTGCTGGCGGAAGTAGAAGTCGTTCTACAGCGCGGGAAATTTGTAATCGATTCGAACCGAACACAGTGAAACACGTATGAATAATTTAAAATGTTCAATAAAAAGCGTATATTAAAACGAACGTCAGTAATAATTTGAATAAGTTGCATTTCACATCTAGTTTATCCGGTATCTTATTTATAGACATCAAGCGATTAATTATTACGAAACTACGTTGGTCAAGCATCGTTCAATGGAAAATTAACGGTATTACGACTGCAAAAGTCTTAATGAAAATTAAATGTTATATAATTACATTATTGAGATTGGAATAGCCGAATAAAATAATCACCGTAGTAAAAGAAAGTACTGAATAGATGAATTTTTTTAATTTTAAATATATACTAATGGTTTCTTCTTTTGAGCATAATAATAAATAAACATGATAGAATGAAACATAGTAGGGTATCGTGGTATAATGATATTTTCTTCTTTATTTCTTCTATTAATAATTTTATAGGTTACTTAATTATGTCAGCTGCAAGAAAATTAAAGATAATATCTTACCTTGATGTGCATAGTAGAAATATGTGCCAACACTTTCTGGTTTTAATTCATATTCAAAACCACCGAATGGTAATATTGAGCATTGTGTAACCATCGGGACACCGTCCATATGGGGGGAATCATTTTGCCGTAATCCATGCCAATGGAAAGATAATTCTCTGGATCCCATTCGATTGTACACAATTACTTTAATAGTATCGCCGAGGCAGACCTGTAAATTTCAATCGTCCATTAATAACAACCTATTAATCAATCAGAAATATGTCACAATTAAACATTTATTTGTATTCGATCATCAAAGAGAATAAACAAGAAAAAAAGCGTCATTATCTAAGAAAACTTGCTCTTCAAAGATATTTTATCAGAAATTGTTATTCGTTAATTTTTGAAGCTTGTTAAGAATTTCTTGAATCTCTAATTACCTCTATTTGAGGTCCTGGACTATTTCCATTAATCTTCAAGTAGCTACCCCCCGAAATCACGTCATGGTGGATCACCGATTCGCTTTCGAGTTTGGAATGGTTCCGACGACTGTAAATGATAAAAACAATAGCAAACTGATTAAAATATTCTTTGGAATGATCAACTAATTGACCAATCAAATATTTCCACACAAAATCAAAGTATAATAGTTCTGTAACTGTAACGTTGAAAGTTCCGAAAGGGATTAATCACTTGCCTTGCAATGCTGAGTCATCATCATGATAATTTCAACTGCAATTCAATAAATTTGGATATTCTTCGTATCACACGAGATGAAGAATAATATTAACGGGTTGTTAACAATATATAGTCTTCACAATTCGTAGATTTCAGGGAACAAGCGGATGATTTGCTTTTTCCGCGGAGCACATAGTTGCCTCCGATCTTTGATGGTAAAAAGCCGAGAAAAAAGATGCCGAGGCACGGTTGGATGCACGAAAATGTACAAAACATGTTGTAAATTGATTTAAACGTTAGATAAACACGCCTCGAACTTGGCCACGAAGAAAATGGCTATGGTGGTTACAGTTGCGGTACAGGATTTGCGGTGTATAAGGCCATTATCTAGCTTTACCGGCTACATCACAGTTGTACATATATGTAGCCGTGAGTGTTAGTGTCAGAACCTGTTAGGAATCAGAAAAATCCAAGATGCACACTGTAGCCAACCGTGTCAACCGTTAGTTCGTAAATTACAGAGGGAATGATATACTCGTCCTAACGATAAGGCTGACCGGGATACGAATATCCTCATCCCTCTTCAAAAATGCTCGCCTTTAAGTCACACTGGATTTTTCAATCGTGCAAATCCTTCGTTTGTTGCGAAATGCAAACACTTTCATCGCGAGAGGAACCTAGTTTATCTCGTAATTAACACGTGCGATTAACACTTTGCGAATGACCATTAGAATGTGTTCATTTGTATCGAATAAAAAGAAGAGAAAAAGCGCGAACGGAACCGGTTCTTTGGTTCGCTTGACATAAGAGGATATTGAAGAATTTTTTTATAAACGTTCCGAGCACTTCCGGCACAGATCTCACCTGATAACAGCAGGTAATTCGCTGACGACGAATTCGTAGCGGCAGAGCTTCCTCGATGATGCTTCGTTGGCACATGAGCGCAGACACTCGTGGTGATCGTCATCTGATTGTTACAGAAAAGAAACGCAGCAAGAAGATAATCAACATTTCATAGCAACGAAGACAGGGCGATCGAAGTGCGCAAAACTGAATGTAACATCACCATGCTCTGATTCCCCCGAAGTTTCACAAGTTGCAAAAAAAACGCAACTTTCACGAAAAAAAACGAAAAATACCCGTCTGCTTTCAACATACGCGACGATATCCTCGAAACCACAATTTCCATCAACTTTCTGTCACGATTACGGAATACCGAAGTTGTAATCAGGGGAATCACTTTTGGTGGTACCAGAGCGATAATGATTCTTCGCGATTTGTTTAAAAATGTTCACTGTCACGACTGGCAACTGTTTGGATCCGTGCACTTTGAAAACAAACGTTCCACGATTTCGATTTGGTATTGTAGGGGGCAAAGACGTAGATGATTAATTGTATTTTCTCACCCTGCGTCCGAGACGTTGACGTTTTTAGCGAAACGAACAATACGACGAGGGCGACGGTAAAACGATCGAGCCGCGGCATTGTAACCCAGAGAGATCTGGGTCTTGATCTTGCAGGGTCGTTGATCTATATCGATCGCGGTATTATCATCGCGGATGACGCGTGAAACAATGACCCAGGAAATGACCGGCGCGATGTTACGCGGTTCACGATCAAACCGCGACTCGGTTGGATCTATCTTGGGTGGTGAAAGCAAGGCCTAGGCTAGTCCCAGTTACGCAAGTTCTGTTCAATGCACATTCGAATTTTTTCGTTTCAGCGGAATACACTGCATTCGCGTAAGTAACCGCCGCCACCGAATTTAATAACGGTACACCGAAAACCGGTAAGCGAGTTTATAAATGACGATTGAAAACCACGTAATCGATTCGTCTGGTTTTATTCGAGGAGTACAATCATCGGCGAAATTGACCGTGCGAATTCAACGTCACAAAATACGTGCTGGTACCATTATTTAAATAGATATGAATATATATTTGCATCGCATTTATAAAAATATGTACAAAGGCTTGTCGACTGTTTGAATTTCAAATTCATTTTCTCTTAATATTTCCTATATGTATGTATGATACATCGTATACGTTTTCCTCCCGAAATTTGTACATGAATACAATATGGTGCTGTTGCGTTTATAAGAGAAAATGCATTATTGTTGTAAAGATCGTTTTAATACTAATCTAGCGAGCTTCGTGTACAGGATGGTAGAATTGCGGATTTAACGAATGTAGTAATAAATAAATGCATGTAATTTTGGAAGTATTAATCTAATTTACTATTCCTAAGTTGGTTTTGTAACACTGTAGACTACACAATGGCACTCCAGTCTTTGAGCACGAATATTTCTTTGGATTTTTACATTGATTTACACCACAGAGGACTTGGGGTGGAGGTTGCCTTCTGAAAGTAAAAAGATTGCGGTGAAATAGTAGAATATTTAACATTTATCTAGAATGTTTCAAATTTTTCAATAATCAACACTCACCCTTGTGTAGGCTGTAACGGGAAATCTTCGCCCGGTGGTAAGGATATGGAGCTCCTTTCAAGTGTTAAACGGTATGTGACTAAAGGAACTTGCCTTCTGGACGGTTTCCCTTTGCTGATAACTTTGGATGCCTTAGATTCTTGTTTTTTTAATAATCTTTCCATTGTTTTTTTCTAAAAATTAATTGAATTGAATTACAATCACATCATACGGAAAATTTGTGTGGGAAAAATGCAGAAGAAGCTACCTTATCTTTTTCTCTTTTTTCATCAGCAAGTTGTTTCCTTTTTAAGGATTTAAGAGCAGCCTTTTGTATAGCTTCAGCTGTCATAACTTTCTCTTTGTAACCAGTTGGTAATGACATAAGTTGTTCTACCCCTGAATGTGATTCTGTATCAGTTTTTCTTTCAAACATGGCTCTTTGACGAGCAGTCATTAATTTTGGATCCTTTGGTTTAATTTTCTTCAGTTCATCATCAACCTAAAGAATTACAAATATTACTTTATTTAGTAGTTCAAGATCTATACTTATTAATATAGTTCGGGCTTACTTCTTCCAGTTTTCCAGATTCTATAGCATCAAGCCATCGTTCTTCTTCACTACTAGTACCACTATCTTTGCCCTTATTACCCTTTAGCACTTTTTTCTTTGCTGTGGCTTTTGGTGATGGTGCAGTACTTGAACCCGCAACACTTAAATTAGCAGATTTAAGTACTTTCTCACGAGGTTTTTCTAGACTGTAATACAATAACAATTTCATTATTTATTTTTTTATTTTCACATTTTTTTCTTCATAACTTTATAAATTTATATTTTACTTACCTCTTATCATCTTCCTTTTTCACTTTAACTCTAAATGCTTTCTTCTTTTCCGTTTCAACACTAATGTTATTAAAACCTTCAACTTCATTGTGTGTTGGTTTCCTTTTCTTATGTTTTTTATGTTTATGTTTCTTGTGCCTCTTTTGTGGAGATATTTCATTAGTTTCTAAAAAGAGAGTGATGTATAAGTACAAAAATCATTATAAAATCAATAAAACTGAACATGAATACATATTCCAGTTTTTAAATTTCCCGCAAATTATTTTCTCGTTAGATGTCAGCCTGGTTTTTGGTTGGTAATGATACTTCTCTCTGTTGGTTATCTCAAAAGTACTTAACTAACCTCAGCGACGAAATTAAAAAAAAAGGGAGGAATTAATCAGTTCAACCGTTATTACAGAAAGAAAATATTAATCTTTTAGTATATACAGAAGCATACCTATAGTTATATCTTCGTCTGTGCTTATGTCTTTCGTCTTACCCATTCTATTGAGTAGCTAAGCCGCTTCAAATGTCAAAGTAGCAAAATGTTGAATACACTGTGTGTGATATACAATACGCACTCACCATGAGTCGTCGTGTCTCTGCATGCACTAAGAGCTCATATTAACCGTGTCCGTTTCAGTAAAGAGGTTATTTTATTGTAGTATAATTTAAAAATCAGAATGCATTGATTAATTCTAGATAAATTTCTTGCGATTATAATTCCATAAACAATTACCAAGATGTAATTACTGAGTAACAACAATGAATATGGTTAACTTTTAATTGAATGGAACATTAATTTTAAGAATCTCAGAAAAATGGCCTGTAGAAATAAAAAACACATAAACTAATTAATTTTTTAAGAAAAGTAATTTCATAAATGCAAGATTCTTTCAAAGTTTCTTTTTTACCAATGAGTAATTGGTTATTGAGCAATGGAAATCTTCAGAAATCACGAAATACATAAATATTATTAAAAATAATAAATTAAGCGCTGAAAAGTAAATAACGCTGTTATCTAGCACTGACATCGATAAATTAAGGAAACAAAAAACCTACAATATATATAATTATTAAAAATATAAAAATTTTCAACTATACTTTCATTCCGTTATTATACTTAGAATTTTACATGTGAAATGCTATCTATTTATATATAATACTTATATATACCTAGTTATATTTTAAACGCTAGAATATATTTCGTTGCGAGGACGTTTTTTCGAGCGCCGATCCTAGAAGTGTTCCGTAAGAGAGCTGCAACAGGACTGCCGTCGCTTTTTGGAGAACCTTCCGGTTCCTCCCAACAAGCCGTTTCTGTTGTTCCTCCAGCGGCTCCGGCAAAAATCCATGCGTTATCTTAAAAACACCGGGCTTATCCGCCTTCTCCCGCGTAGGTTTTATTGGCATCCTTTTTGGGGATGCGGACAATGGATTTGGGGGGTCCTTCAAAAGGGATAATGTAAGGACGTAAAAGTTAATCGGCTTAACTCCTTGCTGCCGATAAGCATTATACAACATTCGAGCGGAAGATAGTAAAAAGAAACTGATATCACATGTAAATTTAACAATCAATGTAATCTAGTATCACTGTAGGCGATAGGGATTAAAATCAAAATATTGATACTTAAAATGACAAACAGTATGGTGTTGTCGATATAAAAAGTTGTTTATTCATTGAATTGAATATCATTGAATGTCAATTGAATTAATTAGATGATCAGTAATTGTAAAATATAATATAATTATAGAATATAAAATATAATATATTTTTGGTGGACGACAAAAGAATATAGATAAGTCAAAGTTTGATCGAAATAAGATAAGTACCCTAATTATCCATACGTATACTTTACAATGCTATCATTTGCTTATGATTCTAACAGTGAAAGTCAATTCCTCTTCTCGTATTGTACATGTATGTATGTCTTCGTATATATGCAAATGTATATTAAAAATGTAAAAAATAATTGTAAAAGTTATTCAAAAATTTAGGTTAGTTAAGAATTATTTTTAAGAATGTTTCATAAGATATAAACCATTTATATTTAAAACCATGTATTAATAGCTTCAAAATGTTAGTGTAGGTACTATGTGAAATAAATTTGTAAAATACTAATAGACCTCTTTGATTTCAATTAGGATGTAGCTTCGCGCGTTTCAGAGTTTAAAGATATGGCAACATTGCAACAGAAGCGTGTCTCTGAACTTGTTTACCGCAATTTGCGGTTTCGTTAACTTTGACCATTTTGCTTGACGTAGTTCTTCTATTGATCGTTCTCTAGGCGTAGATGGCAGAGCAAAATCTCTGACTTTTTTACACAGTTGGCAATTCAAAACATATGACACGAACTCCCGTAAGCTGCAATGTCTATCCGTATACTTCGTCTGTGGTACTAGTTTCCTGAAAGAAAACATAAATAATCAATACAATTTTTAATTCATTTCCAGCAACGAATAATTATATTATTTTACATATAAAAATATATAACTTGAACAAATGTTAATGCTCGTGTCGGTTTTACCTGACTACAAGGAGGCCGCTAAAACTCTGCTCTACACTTAAATTGAAAAATTCAAGCAGCGATAATTTTTTCATTAACATAATATATATAAAAATATGTATATATATATATAAATATGCACATATTATACAATATATACATATTGCATTTAACTTAACTTACATATTACATTATCCGTATTAACTATAATGGTTTATATTAAATATGAATACATATTATCTACAATTTCCAACTTTTCTTATATCAAATTATAGGAACTTAAACTTTTTTCTTTTGTTATTAAACATCATGTTTTCCATATTGCTGTAATGTATGTATGTACATAAATATCGTTTTGTATTCGGGAGAACAAAATATATGAGATTTTAGTATTTTTGAATTTGGCAAATCGAGACATAACACGAAAAGTTTTCTACAGTTAAATAATTATAAGTATGAAATTGGAATACATATGGTCCCTTCATTAAATGTACAATTTTGTAACACATCAAGTAAGATATGTTAATATCGGTTTGCAGTATTCAACAAATAATAATACTCATTTTTATAAACTGAAGTGCGTAACTAAAATAAAAAGCATTAACGTGAGAAAACATGTACCACATTTCGGAACGATATACGGAAATTAACACAAAGCTTATATGCTTATAAAAATTATTATGTTATTCATGATACAGGACCTATGTTTATAATTTTGAATAACATTGAGGAGAAAATGTTGAGTTAATTTTTAAATTCTATCTGACTGATATAATTTTATATACTCTGTTGTAGGTATTTACTGGCAGTGTTTACTCCACTTCATCCTTTAAGCAGTTCCATAGAATTTTTAAGTTAAAAAATTCAAGCACACACATTTATTACTTTTTTTAATTTATTGACACATGTAGAATTCTCTTTTGTAAAAAAGGATATAAACATATTGAATTTATAGTAAAGCTAGTGATAATAATAATAAAAATATTGATAATTATGATATTAATAATATTAATAATAGTTGTGATAATCATAATAGTACAATAGTAACAACTATAATAATAATACTTATAACAGGTAACAATGCAGTCCTATGTTGTGCAACTTTTTATACAATTCATTGTTCTAAATAACTGCTTAAAAGTTGTTATAGAGTATAAGATAGTAAAGAATTTTATCAGTCACAGAATGGCAACTTCGACTTACTTTCAGTTTTAACTTCTGACACGAACATTTGGCACATAAATAGTACTGATATCTTGTTCTCTTAAAGATACTTATTTTCAAGTTCTCAATATGAAAATAAGAAGGAATAAGAAAACGCATTATTATACTTTTGTATTATTCTATACCTTATCGCCTAAGTATTGAATTAAGCCAAGACGAATTTGTCATTCTGTTCTAAATCAGTGTTGTTTGTAAATAATTCCAGATATGTAAAATAATTAAGATATATATCTATATACCAAGAAGATATGATAGTGTGATGTGAAACTTAATAGTAGCCCATCATACAATCAGTCCTAACAACATTTTCAATTCATAATTTGCACAAAAAAGAGAAAGGGGCGCATATACATATATACGTATGAAATATTCATACATATATATTTATGGAATTTTCCTCGCATCTCCTTTTTCATACATCTTATTTTATATTGGCTCGCGTTTTAAGGGCGAGGACTCGAACGACGCTATGGGTCGCTGAATTAGGAGAGGTAAGGGAAATAAGGTTGGGTCAATTGGTGTTTTGTTTGTTGGAACGAAGGCGAGCCAATGAACGCTCACCCTCTTCTTCATCTGATGTACAAGGTGGTGCACCACTGACTCCACCACGAGAGGAAGTTGCTTGCATTAGTTCTTGGTCAGGACCGTTTCGGTGCTCGTATAACAAAATATTTAATGTCTCTTCATAAATTCTGGCCTCTGGAAACTCAACCTATGTATCATGAATTAAAGTTTTACTTTCCTCCTTCACTTTTACTTTGAATATTATTTTAGATTATGAAACTAATACATGTATTATTTAATGTTACCTTTGTGTGTTTCCTGTCAGTCGTATATACAATAGAGTGGCAACAAACTTCTGCTACTTTACGACCATGACCATAGAATGTCCAACAACAAATTTCACTGGAGCCAATCACGTCTTTAATGAATAGCACTCTATCGCTGAATCTAAGGGACATTTTGTCGAACAATTCTATGTTTTTTAACAGATTGTCATCTGACGAACTGTAAAGACAAGGCTTTTTATATTTATTTGTTCTTTTGTATCACTGCATATTGCAATTTCTATGAAATGGGTAGTATCACCTTGTATATGAATATTTGTTATTGTGCCTATTAATGAGCAGCTTTACCACTGGTTTAGTAGTATTGCTAATTAAAAACTGCTCTTCTTTCGGAGAAGTGATAAGTGGAACTCTACAAATAGGTTCTGCCTCTTTTTCTTTTACAAGAAGTGCTTGCTCGCAAGACTCTGCTAATTCGCTGATACAATAAAATTTTGCTTCTGCAAGTAGTTCTGCCATTTCTTTTGTGCTCTCTGGTAATGGAACTGAGCCGTCCCTTAGAAAATTTAAAATTGTTCCAAAGTGTTTACCACACCTATCTATCATCACCCACCCTGCAAATAAAATTCATAAGGCTTCAGCACAAAACAGCAGATGAAAGTAAATAATTTAAAAACCATTAAACACATCTTTAGGATATGCAATTTGGCATACGAATTTGTAACGAAGACTATTAGACTTCTTAGTATTGTTTAAGACGTATTAGTGAATAATACAAGTACCGATGCAGTATTGAATTAAATAGTCATCAAGTATCTCACCTTCGGAGTCTGTGTGCATTTCCATGCGACCACTAAACATAGCACGCAACATAGTGTCATATTTTTGGAGTGTACCTAAGGTTGTGTAGTGTAAGGAACCGCCGATATTGAGCTTGACATACTCCGAAGGATATTTAAATCCCGCTTTGTGATTTCCTGACATAACGAACCACAGCGACGATATATCGAAACCTCAGTTATCGATGGCAACGAATATTCAAACGAAAAAGTTAAATGTCAAATCAAAAATACAATTAAGGAAGAACGGAGCGTTGCGACTTTCGGGCGACAACGCGAATAATGAACAATAACCAATACGAAGATATTTTATGTGCCATTTATTAGCCTCATCTTACATGTTAAAA